CGTACGGCAGTAAATCATCCTTGTTCAACGCCCACTTGCTGCTGATGACGCTATGTTTGTGTTTTTTGTGTGCCTCCTTCACTGTTTTCCGGCAATTACTCTCAATTCATCCTTTGTCATTCTCGTTCGTCTGTGATCAAACAGGAATCGACATTCTTCTTGGGATCCCCCGGAGCCAACACTATCGTGCTGCTAGGACATATCATGCTGACTGGTTTTCTGTCTTGCAAGCACTTGTTCGCTTTGACTTCCGATACCTGTGGACGAATCTGCGATCCAACCCATGGATGCCCTACGGTGGAAGTCGTGAAAAGACTGTCAATCTGTTCTCAGACTATAAGGTAGGGATTCGGTTATAACTTACCAACAATAAATGTCACACTATCTACATACAGTTTGAGCTGAAGGACGTTTTTGATGGTTTTGAACCACCGTTCTGTCGCAATCTTTGTCAACTCAAGCACCAAAAGTTCTGTTTTGAAAGAGGAAGAACTTTCGGTTATTTGTACTACAAACCTACACTGTGATGTTGGCATACGCTAACCTGTACGACTGGGACTGAGAGTATTCGGTGGCACTTCGTCCACAGTTGCTTGCATAGTATTTCATTTTTACCCCTTGCGGTCTGCAGGTGCGGATCAGAAATCAGCGGTAGGAGTGCAAGCGGAATTTGGTCACTTGGACTTTAACGGGTCGGCTACAAAATTAAAGGTATTACCGAACAGCACTATGTGAAGTTCGATGGTGCGTGTAAGCTTTCAAAATGTTTACCTGTGTTAATTTTGAAGGCAATGTTTTAAGTGAAAGGAAATTTTAACAACTGTGGTTTAAGTCTCAGTTCTAGTCGTCTTTGATTCATTCGGTGAGTACTGCAACTGAGTGGTCACATAGCCGGTGGCTATGTGACTCCATCACCGAGCTGTGGGGCGCTCGTAATTCGGCTATTTAAATGAGGTCCACTCACCCACATTTGTGGTCGGAGACATGGTGCGTTTGTCTTGCGCGCGAAGCGGCTAAGTTCCACAACCCTAAGTAAGGATTGGACGGACTTCGTGCAAGCTGGTTTCGCTCCTTCTTGAGTTTCATGAAGACCTATCTCGCTGTATCAATACAGAAATTAGTCTACTCTTCAGCTTACCGATTAAGTAGAATGGTAGAACCCATGTATCGAAACGCAGTGGGGTATTCAATTTCATGCGCACCAAGCATTACCTGTTGGGCGATTGCGTGCATGGGGAATTTCGTCTTACCGTTGTAGCTCGAAAGCCTGATGAGTCGTGCTGACTCGATTTAAGAAGCGTCTATAGGTCTTCCATCCTTTCGTCAATCAAGATAGTGTCATCGGCATATTTGAGGCCTGCAAATTCCTGGTGTAAGTTGGACGTTAGTGTATTTCTCCAATAACGTTTGTATCACCTAGTTAACTACGAAAAATAACGCCGGTGTTCAAACTCAGAGTAATTTTCGCCGTAACAAGCTTTGACGAGATGGCTAACCATCAGCAATAAAGATAGTCTAAATGACCCACGGTGGATAGGGCCGGACGCAGCGCGACATCCAATTGGGCAGGTGATAGGTTGCTGCTAGGATTTGGTTCGATGTTCCAGAAGTAAACATAGACTGAATATCTGGTCCACACATCTGTCGAGGCTGAGACTACTTTTATGAGGTCATGTTGCTGACATGTCATTAAATATCTTATCCAGCGCATTCATGCAAGGGACAATAAAAACTTCAACCACCACCTTTTCATGCGTTGGAAATGACTAGTTCGATGTGTTCCAGGTCTGTGTCCTTCGCTGGACATCAATTCTATGGCATGTTTTCATCAGCATGGGGTCATGAAAGACGGCGTGGAAGCTGGAAGACTTCGGAAGGCAAAATAAATTGTTAGATTGTCGCATCCAAGGACCATTAGCTCAGCGTAGCAATGGCGCTGACCATGTTTTCTTCATAGACAAGCTCAGGTCTCATTATTCCTCAAATGACCACGGGATGTTGATTCGGACTCCAGGAGGCTTTGGTTTACTGTTGCCGTATGATCACCACTGAAAGGTGCAGTATTAGCAGACACCTTGTTGGAACGTATTCCGGTATGTCTTGGTATGTCCTTAAAATTTTAATTTCACAGTGCACTATCCTGTTGCGACAGGCATTCTGCAGAAAGTATGTGGGCGACTACCTTTGCAGATCTTCGTATAGATATGTAGAGCGTTTCTCTGTGCGTATCGGTGGATGTTAGTCTGTCTGCTACTCTTCTTGACAAAAACACCTCCTAGACACTATAACAACGAGGAGGTTTTTCGGCCTTTGTCGTTTGCTTAGGTATCAAGCTTGACTTTGAGGCTGTAGGTGGCCGCCTTGTATTCACCTGGATGTGGCCTAGGAAATAGCCCCAATGGGTCTGCTGTCCAAGTTCATCAATGGCTTACTGGGAATGTTTTTGGTGAATTGGGTCTTTTGGTCAGTTTTCAATCGTTTGCCCCGTATCCATAGTTAACCGCTTACACAATTCTGTTGCGTGAGTCGCATGCTTAGCTCATTAAAACTGTCGGCCGATACTGTGGTTTTTACCACCGGCTGCTATCATTGTGTGATTTTCTCTGAATAACAGCCACTCCAGGCGTGTAAGATCACTAACAAGCGAGCGCCCGGTTTGTCTTACCTGTTCATGTATTGGGCCTCATTAACCACTTTAATGCGGCCTCCCCATGGTTAAGGAACTTCCGATTTGCACGAAACTCCATTACGTCCTCAAAAACGGGTGTGTCAGACACCAATCTTTCCAGTAGGGTTGCTAGAAGTGTTTTTTAAATAAAGAACGATATTTATCATTGTGTTTCCAGTCTATTTTGATACTAGATGAAAAACATTTTCTGTCTAAATTCCCCTTTTTTCCTTGCTTGAGGTCACTGAATACTTGGCCATGCTAGGCCATTCTCATTTTTGTTGAACTCGTAGTTCCATTCTTGAAGGCGAAGCGCTCTCTCTGACACAACATTCTACTTTCTGTTCGACATATATGTAGCACTTTTTTGCGGACGGCTTTTGAATAAATGGCCGTTCGTGGCCGGTAATGTTCCACTTCCATCAGCTCTGTTTTCCCGCTTACATTAGCTTGTCAAGTATCTCTTCTATTCATCTCCTGAGTTTTACGACCTCAAAAGAAAGCTTCTATCGTACTCCTAACTAAATGTTTATATATAAATATATATATTCCTCGCAACTAGTTGCTTTTGAATTGGCATCCGGACCTTCTGGAACTGCCGCTGGCCTCCTCGAACATGTTCACAAATGCCCGTGGCTTGGCCCGTCTCTTCCAACTCCTGTTGCCGCATGCGCGACACGGTTGTCCGCTGCATCAGGACAACAACAGCGACACCAACCAGAAGTGTTACAATTTCAACAATGAAACAGTAAACTGGATGTTGAGTGCACATGATTCTACGGCTTTCGAGGACCCCGTTCTACGACGTCCTTTGGCTCTCACAGCTTCTGGATTGATGATGTCTACGTCACCTGAGGTATGTTTGCTCTCCTTTGTATTCCACGCTGTCATCTTTAGGCATCGAAAAAAGTTTGATGGTTGCCCTTTCGGTGACGCTGGAGTTTCTGGGCACCGTTCAGTTATTTTCGTTCTGTTCAGCTGGTCATTAACATGTAGGCTGTTTATCTCCAAAGGTCAGCTCAGAACTTCCGTTCTGATAAACTAAGTTTTCGTGCTTGGTGACCAATGAGCACGCTTTGAAAAGTAGTAGTCCCATTCCGACTATGAAGATAATGTACGTCGTACTTTGCTGTGTCGATTTGTGTTTATGTGGGGTCGACCTGTCGGAGGCAACTTGTGCGTGATGAATACGTGAACTATCCACCCTTAGGCTGTCTGATCCATCTTTTTGGATGATGTAGATAATCTCGAACAAAGTCTTCTGAGAGGCGTGTGAGAGCATAGAACTACCCCATGTATTAAATTGACAAACAATACCAGCGAGGTGCACTCGTGCTGTAAGCCTTCTACATGACCCGTCACCTGTGTTTTGAAGTCAGTGCTCCAGCATAACACAGTGAGTAAATCTTTGTTTTCCCTAGACAACCAGTGCGTAGGTCATCAGAGCCAGATCCGGGGACTAATCCGAAGCAACTCGAATGCAGCCAAACTCAGGTGCACATTACCTTACATGCCGGATTGATCGAATAGTGAGATCAGGTTTGGCGGACCGCTCCATTGGTTGCCAGTGAAAACAACCGAGAGATTTGTCTAACTGTGGTCCTTATTTGCAATATGTGAACAAGCAAACCCGCAATAGGTGTGTTTCATCCATTTCATACAGTGGTTCTTGTGGTCAGCTACAGTACACGCTTCGTCTAGCGACAGTACGACTCGTCTCTTCGGGGTCCTTCTATGGTTAGGCTTCTGAACCAACCGTTTTGACAGAGGATCCTAATAGTCATCCTATCCAGGTTTGAGCGTCCTGACAGCATCTCAGTCCATGTACAACCATAAATTACGACTTCACAGCACTGAAACAACAGTTTTCAACGCTGACGTTACAATCGATAATGACGGTGGTGTGATGGGCGGCTTTCTTACTGTCACTCCTTGCTAATCGCTGAAGACCGAAATGCCAACTTCAAGCTTATTTCAAACAGTCAACCCTAGATCAGACGCTTCGCGTTGGAACACATCGTTTGATCAACCCTATCGTTTTGATGTGATTTAGCTAGTCATATATTATGCGTGGTTCATTTCACAACCATTAACATTTTTAATACTTACCGTCCTTTTGTCCTTCCTTTGCAATTCAGGGCAATCCCATATTTGGCATGTGGGATGATATTATGGGTCAGATGGTTTTTTTGGATCCAGCCAGGCGATTAACAGTGGCCTATATGACCAATCATGCACACGGACGAAGTCTTTCCCAGGACCCTATCATTTCCTCTTTGGTACAGTCTGTGTATTCATGCCTTACAAACCCTGGTGCTGTTTAGTGGCCAGACAGCACCGGGAGCACCCCATCCACGAAAATAAAAAATCCGTTTATTTTGCATTTAAAAGCCAATGTACACAAAAACTTGCTGACCAATTTTTTTCTGTTTTCTATCCGTTTATCCAAGCTTTTTCCCGATCCATAATTGTAGTCCCTGTTCTTTTTCTGATCCCATATCATATATTTATGTATCCCGGTGGCCTACAGTTTCGACTAATTAAATTTGTATCAGAATGCTTCCGTATTTGTCACCAATTTCTGAGCTCTCCTTCCGAGAGGCAAACGCGTCGGTAAAAATCGATTGAATCTGGTCGTTTCCACCGACTCCGCCCTCATGTATCATAGGTTACCTGGGATGTAAAAGAACCACTTTTCCGGACAGTCGATTGTTTCTGGAAAGGCCATTTAAAGCCACCCGTTTCATCCAGGAGTATTTCTCCGCGAATGGAAAGGTTATAAGGTAGTGAAGTAACAAGGAGATTGTAGAACAAATTGAACTGGAGTTACGAAACGCTTTCAAGGCTAGATGGTTGGGAAAGCAAAGACGTTAGTCCCAACCTCACACGTGCTTGCTACGCCGTAAGCGATGTCTACATAGGTGACAGCGTTTCAGGTATAGCGGATGGGTCATACTGATCAGGCTAACGCAGTCACATGAATGAGTCGCCTGGTTAAGCTCGAGCAAGTTTGTCGTTGTTTAAGCCAGCCAAATATCTATCTAGGTAAGCACGGTACTCTAGCTATTGGGGACTAACTAAGAATGAACCAGCCAAGGCTGCCTTTGGACATGTTTCAGTATGTAAGGGCATCAGAAGCAAAGCAGCTGGGAATGCCAGATCGCATGGCGGACGTGAGATCCAGCGACCAGAAGCTCCCCGAGATTCTTCGGTGCGCCAGTGGCCTGACTTCAGAAACAAGCAACATGTTTGGAGTGATGATAAGTACGATGATGGTAATGTAATTAATACCTTCAGCGGCAATTCTCGATGAAAAGTCAGCTGACCGTCTCAAAAGATCAGTTGTGGGGCAAAACGCTCAGTAGCATCTTACTACATGCGATATATTATCCTAACATAAATAAGTCTCTTAATTCGGTTTGGTTTAGATGACCGAAGGATCTTCCCAGTCTAGTCGGTGCATTGGACCCAAGTCGCAAACCAGTGTCTGCTGTTTCGATGCACAGTAGTCTCGCTCGAGATAGCTCAGTGTTCAAGGCGCGAACTTACTGACCGGAGCGTCCGTGGTTCGTAACTAACCCCGATATCTCGACTACTCCTGGGCAACCTGGTAGTATATCAGCCCTCATACTTCCTTGGGATGGCATAGAAACTAGGCACCGAAAGGGTCATACAGCCGAACGTTGCTATTGGCATGCAAATAATACATGAGTCGCCTTTACAATTACTTGCAGAAATATCACTTGGGCTATCTGCTTGGAAGGATTTCTCACTTGTCAGATACTTGGTAACTGTTCGCAACTTGTTACTGCGCGCACTGAAAGAATTTCTCCTCCACAATGTTGGATACCATCGTGTGGGAGCCAAATAAACTGATCTTAAATATCGGTTCAAATGAGCCTACCGGTGTAACGGTGGATACTACTGATGAGGCATGCGAGTAATATATTTTCTCATAACTCCGCTTCGCGTCTATAGGACAGTAGTATTTATATGGGATTTGTGGAATTTCTTTGTAGCATTCGTCTACATTTGAGTGATAGCCCATGACAAACCAGCAAAGTTCATGAAGACACGTTCAAGGAGGAGACCGATATTCAGTTCTTATAAGCAAGATGCATATGAGAATTTTACTTTCCTGTCCAGTAGTCTGACTATTCAGTTGGTGGTTTCTAATAAATAATACTATAATCAAATAACTAATAAGTGGCTGGTAGTCCATGCGATACACATTCACGTGTGAGAGATTCATGCGAGGTGAATCCGAGCTTTCCATTCACACCAATTAGCGTGCAAGTGGTTGGTTTATTCAGTCAGACTGAATAATCTACTAGCACGCCCCCGGACGTCACTTTTCACCAAATGGACCGAAGTGTGAAAGCCGAACCTAACTGACATTTAACACCAAGTCCCTCTTCCCTGAACACACGCATTCTAAGTATCAGACGAGGAACGTTTCTTTCCTTGGCTTATATGGGATTGCATTTGCACCCAGTTGACCGGTGTTCTGAAACCTGGACGGACGCCCTTGATGAATGCACTTTGTCCAAGGGTTCCATGTAGGTCGTTCACACAGCAAAGTGGTATCGTGATAGATGAACGCGCTTCTGAATGCACACGTCACAGAAGCCAAGTCTCGAAATGTTTAATTAAAAACACTCTCGCAATGAATTCGCTTGTTCAGTCAAGCGCAGTGCTGAGAACTAAGCGCATCTCTTTTACCCTTGTTCATCAAACTGAACATTTCTCGGTTGTCCATGCGATAATTACTCTCATGCGTTGTAGTAACAAGGTATATCGAGTTTGTGGACGCCCTTTCTTGAACATTTGGCGTTCTGGAAGGTATTTCGTCTTTCATTATTGGATGCCCAAAAGTATATATTTTTCGGCTCGCCAGGAGTGACTCCTCTCGGGAGTTTAATACAAGCTGGAAGATTGCCTGTTTGTGATCGTTGTATTCTATATATTCTCAAATATGGTCCTCAGCAGTTTCTCTTGGCACCAACAACATGGCCCTTGATCACGTGGCCGTTATCATGAAGTACACGCACGGTGTATGTTTTATGTCGCATTTACGTGTGCGTCTTTCACAGTATGAATGAATCTTTGTTATTTGCTTGGAAGCATTAACCGTTAAAAACATTGCTAAACTTCTTAAAAACGAATATTTTGTAACTATAAGACTCCACTCAGGCTTATCGGAAACTAAACACATCTTGGTCAAAAGGACTTTTCGGATCAGTTGTGAAGAGCAACGCGTTGTCCTAAAATACCGAGTTACTTTTCAGATACCCCTACTCATGAAACAGTTCTGGCAGTAAACGTGCATTTGTATGGTCTCACTTTACTGTCATTATTCTTTGGTAAGTTCAATTTTTTATGTGCTGAACTCATGTACGTCGTAGGCCAAAAGACTCCTCAACTTAATCACATGATTTTCTTTCATTTCCGGAGTTTGTTAAACTTTAGTTCATCTTCATTGATCACCGTTAGTTTTTAGTACACCCCTATTTTTCATGATGATTCTGATTTCGAAAACATCACATTGTTTCTTTGCTTCTTTTAGTCTAGTAGCAATGATGGTACTGCCTCTGGGGTCTGGTCCCAACTGCGCGACAACACTTTTACGACAGCTATTTATCTGCATGGCTGGCGGTGGCTGGTCTTTTCGACCTTCAATTCTTGGAATCATCTGTTTGATGAATTTTTGTTTACCGAAATTTAAAATAATTATCTAGATATTTATGAGGTCATAGCACACATTTTCGTGATAAAATCAACTAGCGTGCTACGGGCATTTACTCGTTGCATCCCGGAAAACTGCAAACTTAGCCATGGCGGGTTGGAACTTCATACTGACGCGTTCATTAGCATGAGTAGGAACCAGCGCTTAGGAAAATGCTAGCAGCAACAAATATATGCATAACTATACGCCTTTTTGCGCTTGTTCAACAGATTCAACTGAAAGACAGACTACATGGCCCGAAAAAATGGCTGCGAATACCTGCCGGTCATGACAAGATATTTATACACACTTCAAATTAGTCGTGGTCTAAACCGGGGATGTATCTTTTGGAGTACACTGACATTTCTTTGCCCGATGAATGGGCCTGTCATTTCTTCTGGTGCAGCGCCAGTGGTCCGTAGCTCCCAACACTTCTTGCCACCACCCGCAGGTAGCTTTGGATGATATTAATGGTGTTCCAGGACAAGATGGCTCAGTGGTTAGAGCGCAAATTTACTGATTGGAAGGTCCATGGTTGGAACCCGACCTCTGCATCTCGACTTGTCCTGTCTAGGATTGAGCTACCTGGCACTATCCCAGCCCTCGTGCCTCCTTCGGGTGGCATGGTAGCTAGGCACCAGAAGTGTTACAGGTGAACAATTATCTTTTTTTAAACTTTTTTTTGGTGTTCCCAGTGTATGCGTCCATATCGTACAAGCAAATTTAGTGAATAAGTAGTCCGAACTGAAAAAGTGACCTATTTGGAGAGAGACTGAATTAACGTGACCCGGAACAGTGACCTAAATGCTTTATTGCTCTCTGATTTTTTCGTTTCAAGGAACGCGTAACCGAAGTTTATGGTGAGCTACAAATTTACCTCATCACACCATACTCCAGGTTCTAACTTGTCCGCCTGTCTCGGAAACCATGAAGGTCCCACTAGAGACCAGCTGTTTCAAAATTGAGGAACTAAGGGCCTGGTACTTGGAACTGACTTCAGTTGGATGAGTGAAAGTCGAATTCTTTTGAAGGGGTACGTGATCCCCTAACCAGCGGTGATTGGACTCAAAATCTACTACACGTACTTTCCACTTATATTTTAACATCCACGGCTTAGTCAACCTCATTTTAGTTGTGTTAGTATAACCCATATGTTAAAAATGATTAGAACGAATTTTCCATCCTCATTGCAAACACCTCACAATGCAAGTCACGGATTATTTTCATATCCAGTCTTGTGATTTAATAATGTCAATTTGAAAATACAGGCTGTGGTCGAAATAAACAGTAACGTTAGATAATATTTGGTCTGATGTCATGACAGATCTTCAGTGGAGAAATGTAGTCGGTTACCTGACCAGGTGTGGATCCAAATTCCAGGGGGAACGTCTCTGCTATTTTCGTGCCCATACTAGCGCTGGAGTGGCTTGTGCTCATTTTGGCAAGACTCGTTTTAGTCTGGGCCAGAGATGAGCCACTGTATCGCAAACTGGCCCAAGGAAGCCTGCCTCATCCTCAGGCGAGTAAGGCAAATGTGGACGGCTGATTAACTAAACACGGTATACGCATGTGATAAAGAACTTTTTATGATGTGACAATATTTTCTAGTTTGATAACCAGCTGCAGGACATCACGCATATGTCAGTCATTCATAGCATTGTTATGGAGGGTTGAGTGGTGTAAAGGATTTTGATCTGTTCTGTGTGACCAAAGAAGTTAACTACTCTTGGGAGACTCCGGTGGCACGCAAAGAAATTTGAATGAAAAATGATATGTAGTCGCACGGTTCTGTGTACTCATCTCCTTTGTGTCATTCCACTAATTGTGTACCAATGAACGGATGATTCTATAGATGAGTCAATATGTAAATAAACTAGCATATGATCAAGTATTAAACGGGTGCATGCTGGTCAATCATACGGAACCATAGAATAACCAACACTGTCACTCATCGGTTTCTAACTGACCGAAATCCGAAATCAGTTGGGGTAGATGACTTTTAATAAGATGCAATTGTTTTTTTGACGTCTCTTTCGCTTTCTCCTACCTAAACCCATAAATTTACGCACGTAAGTGTGGGATAATCAATAAATAGTCCTAGTTAAATGGTTGAATCAATAACTTCAGGCCGATTCCAGCGTTCAGACAGAGGAAATGCAGAACACCATTGAATTACCGCAGTGGTACAAAGACCTTTCACCATTATATTCTGTTACCGCCGATTGTGTACTTGAATGGCCTGATGTAAACAACGTCAATGAGTTCCCCGTAGTCTGTCCTGTGCATGGAACGTTAAGCCGATGGTGTTTGAAACTTGGCACGAAGGACTGCACCTGTGGTCCGCCACACATCAGGGAGTCTGGTAATCCTGTTGATGAGGCCGACAAGACGTCGCGCGCCAGAACCAGGCGGCACAACACCATTCAGGAAGTGCTTCAAGAACTATGGGGTGGTGAAGAAATACCTTGCTTAATAAAAGGATTGAACAGCGGTACTCCGGCAGATTCACTTACCAGTCGTCGTGCAGCCTTCACGGGGGAACAACTGAGCCTGACTCCACGAGGTCCTGTGATAGTGAATAGTCATTCTCTCAGAGCAAGGACTGATTGCAATGCAAGAAAACCACATAAAAATATCGACACACTGCCACTGGCCCATGTCTACGAATATCTGAATGATCTAGGAATGGACAACGAATGGTGTGTCATCTTTATGAGCCAAATTCGTCATGTAATGCCACCAGATTTGAACATTCGATATCCATACAAAGATGTGACCCTTTATATGAAAATCGGTACTCGTGGGCTATTGCTGAACGTGTTTCCTGATACCAAGTGTTTCGTAACTCACATCAACTATGATGAATTTCAATTGCGGCCAGAGTTGCACTACGGAGATGAGGTGATGGAAATCCGTCATGGAGTATTAAGGCAATATTTTGATGATGAACTTTACCCACAACGCTCAGCTCTTCAGGGAGACGTCTTTCAACTTCGCCTGAGATCATGTCCATTTTTGAAGTGGCTAAGGCTAGGTATGGGTCCTTGTCCACTGGTCACTGAGAAGTCAAATTTCCGGCCGAATCCACACACACTTCGAAGCCATATCGACATGGGATTCACCATCCATAATGGATGTGTAACGGCCGTAGCCGTAAACTCTCCTGCAAGTGAGGCTGGGCTCCTTCCAGATCACCATATAATTGAAGTTGGTGGGGTATTTGTTTTGCATCATACAGACCAGCAGATCATCCAGATAATCAGGCAAAAGATTTCCGCCAACCCGAGACGGTTTGTCGATGTGGTTGTCATGCCTGAAAGACTGCACAAACAGCTCCAAAGCGTGAATAACCAACACCGCATTGTCAGCAATCAGGGTTTCAATCTTGATCCGTGGGTGAATGCCAAGCCGTTTGGTTTAAGGTAAGTCTTCATTTGAAAACATCAAATGACAGTTTAATTGAGGATAACATTCTATGACGAGCTGATTCTTAGAGATGTTTCCGCTTCTATGAGAAGGAGGTAAACACAGGAGAGGAAAGAATGTAGCCAGGGAAATCTTTAAAAAACGCGGATGGGTTAGATGCAATACTGACTTTGGCGTTGAACATGTCCAGTATAAATCGACTACTGCAACCGAGCCCTGAGGCCTCAGTCTCGCAGTTTTCATCACCAGGGCTTGGGTGTTGCACCCTAGAACTTCTATTACCTTCTTTGAAAATAAATATTCCGAGATTGTACTGAAGTGCAAAGTCAGTCTTCACTGCATCTTAAAACCAAATAAGGAAAGGTAGACAGGCAAAAGAGAAACTTTCTGTTCTTAACAGTAGTAGCGACCTGGAAGTAAACAGGTCGAATACCTAGCGCAAATAATCTGGGCTCACTGGTGTGAAGTGTGGTAGGTTTCAATCCAGGAAATCAAAAATACCACTGCTAATCGATGTCAGCGGCGTTCTTCTTGTCAGTTTCTATCCAGATTACCTGACTGCACGTATAGAGAAGCAGGCACCTCGGAACGGTTGTAGTAAGCCGGTGCTAAAGTTCTTCCCCGTCCACTCTTATTCTTTTCTTCACAATAAAGCTTTGAGATAAGTCATGGTTGTGTGGCAGCGAGGCTTCAGCGCTAATACTGATGCATGTTGTCAACGATGATGATGAACCGCCTCTAGATCCCTCTAACGAGTATGACACCAGGCAAACACAGCTGACAATGGCTCATTTGTTACAGTTGGAAAACAGAACATTCCTTGTCGTTGGCCAGGTGCTACTTGCTAACAAAACCCTAACAAATATCGCTTATGTACCAAGTATGTTGAAATTGCGTGAGTACATCCGCTCTGATGAGTTCGGGTTTAATACCTTCCGTGTGAGATTGCTTGTCTTGTTCTCGGACGTCTGTTTTTGAATGCGCGAGTTCAAAGTCACATTCGTTAGAGTGGTGTATCAAAAGACATCTCTCAGCCTTGTAGTCTGCCGCCGCCTATTAGCTGTTGAATCATCAGGGCATTCTCAAACTTGTTTTGTGTAATCGCGTTATGTTCACACGGACAGATTGGATATGATATCCCAAAAGTGAAATTCTCCAAGGTTTCACTAGGAGACCAACGCAGTTGAAAAAAAACTTATATCTGGCAACCTAAGTAGCCAGCCTCCCGCCCAATTGTTTATCCAATACCACCAAGGCCTCCTTTTGGTCGACTTTCTTACCGAGCTTCACTGCATCAACACCCTTCGGTATTTTATTCCCAGATGAAAACGTGACGATTCCATGCTGTTCCGCACTCAGTAAACATTACCCCGAACCTCCAGGTATCTAAACCATCAGATGCCAGTTAAAGTGCTGGACACATCTAAAACTGACGTGAAACAGAATATTGAAGGGAGTAAAATATCGACACCAACATGCTGCAATGAGAACGAAACATGACGAGAAGAGACGACATCGTCAAGTAGTGAGTCACCGTCAAACTGAAAATTACGAAAACGATAACTAATGGTGTGAAGTCGGACAGTGAATCATGCGTGTGGCTAATCAGTTCGTTAGATCAGTCACAACCGCGTACGCACATTATATGAGTAATAGCGACGCGCGTGAAAGGGGAGGAGAGAACAGGAATGAAGACGGATTAGTCAAAAGGAGGAAAATAACCTCCAATATGCACGTTATCGACTGTGTTCAGCACGTTTGGAGCTTTCCGTGCACAATATTCCCGATTGGCTTTGGAATACACTTTGGGGAAGGGGATGGAGAAACAGTGCTCAGGGAAGCAAAGTGAATTGGCACAGATACAGAATTTGATAGGGAATAAGTAAACCATTTGAGATTTCAGTCTATTTGGCAGGCTCATCAATCTGACGGGAAGAAGCGACGTAAGAACTGTGTTAGGCCTCTGCCTGGTAATTTGTTTTAGAGACGGCTGGTGCATCATCCAAACTTTTTATGAGAATACCCAGCTCTATACAAAACTACCTTCATACTAATATCATTTGTTGGTTGTGTCTACTTTTCCTCAAACAGAAAAGAACAACTTAATTATCTACAACACATCTCCACAATCATCCTCCATCCTTCGGACAGCAGCCGTTAAAAAACTTCAATGTTCTGTTTCTTTGTCCTAAACCAATCGTCAGATGTGTTTCTTTGAGCTGGAATGTGATTAACAGCTATCGAATTTTCTTAGTATAACTAAATGGGTATGCCTTTCCCCGATCATCCTGCGGTTTTTGATGTTCGGAAAAACTGTTCACATACGACAGTTTAAGGGGACCAAAACGACGTCTGCAAGTATGAGAGCCGGGTCTGAAGGCCTAATGTGTTCACATGGCTTCGAAGTCTCACCAGTGGATATAACGGGACAATCGATCGACCGGAAATAGCCATAGGATTGCATGTTTTTTGAAGTTTTTTGCAAGCAGCGTGAGCTTTGTTTTCTGTTTATGGGGTTTCTTATTAGCATTTGTCATGGCTAGTGATTATCAACTGTTTTTTTTTCAAATTAGCAAAACCTCCGCAGTGATGGTAGTCAAAATATTCACTGAGATGTAACAAACGATGCTTGCGCAGTTGACTGAAAGAGGACACCAGGCAGAAGACAAAACGTTGCGTCAAAATTTCTCGAGAACCCGGTTACATAGCAGTCGAAACCATGTTTATGACCATCGACAACAGTATCGAGCAACTCCAGTCGACAAAGCCGAATAAATATACTTCCTTGGTGACCTTCTATTACATCATCACGGTGGACAGTAGCTTAGATATTGAAATTTCTTGTTTCTACATTACCCTTGTTGGGATATTCCATCCTTTGTTTTGGCACGACTTTTTGGTATTGCGCACTAAGGGCTTCAATCTTGCTGTCTTTTAAACCAAGCTGGAAGACACCTTCGAACTCGAGTTATCTGATAGGCGAGCATACAAAAGATTAGTGGGGGAACGGGAGAAAAATATATTCCATTAGACTACTGCTCGCATTTCACGATACCCGCACTTTCGAACTCCGTTTAGACAAACCGCACTAACATAAGGAATTAGTGCACTCTGACGTTTTGCTGTTGGTCGCCTTTCCAACGAGAGCACTTTTACGCGAATTTAAATGCACCTCGGTTTTCACTTTTAGAAAATGAACCGTGTAACAGTCAGACAGAGTCCGATTCGTTTTAGCTTTGAGATAAAAACTCCCCAAACGATCATAGAAGACCAACGGCAGTCACTATTGAGAAGTCCTTGCCGCAGAATAGTTTCATTGTATAATATGAAAACAGCATCTATGTGAGCGCCACATCACGTCTCCGGGTGTGTCCATTTGAAGATTTTATCCAAAGTCCGGACAAACGTTGGTTCGGATTTTAAAATTAAAGTCTGATATTCTGACTCTGGTGATAAATAGCTGTTGAACAATATTCAAGCGATTCCTTTTCTTTTATTTAACAGCCCTGAAAATCACTTTCCCGAATAGAAAGAACAAGCCGATGCAACACAGCTTAAGTGCCACAAATGACCTGGAACACACTTCATGCAGTCATCTTATTACTATTGAACCACTGACGTCAAGCGGTCGACCGACTCGTCAGTTACTTTACTTTGTGTGAAGTCTTGTTTTTCATGCATGCATTCAAACATTTCCAAATGACAAAGTCGTACAAAAATGGATGTGCTGTGACCAGTGACTTTTGCTTCCTTTTGACCAACAAGCGGATTGGAATAGACAGGTACTGGCTGCGGATAACACTTCGAAAACCTATTTAGAAATTTTTGTTAAATGCCACTAAAACCCTTATCAGATTATGTGGTTATCACGGAACGCCAAAGGGAAAGTGGCCAGACTGCGAAAGTGAGTCGCAAGCAAAGTTCCAATGCTCATTCTCACTTTATCAAAGTTATCAACTTGAGGAGATAGACTAGCTCCATAAATTTCGCGCTCGGCTTTCATTGTTTTCACAAAAATACTGGACGGGTATCGCACCTAGAGCATTGCTGCTTCCTCGTTTGCGGACTCAAACTCCACACAAACCATACATTGCCATGCAACGGAGAAAGAAAAGAATCATCAAGAATCTAACCAGACTAGCGGGATGCGGTTGAAACTCAGTGACCCAGATTGCGACATCCAGTTCTTACGGATAGAGGATTATCTGCTCTGTTGTCTTTCAGCCTCATTCTTGAACGAAGGTGAAGAGATCGAATAACTGACCAAGGTGTTCGTCAGCGTATCTACAGGATATACAACGGGTGCCTACAATCTACCCTATTCGTTCACAAAGCCGAACATAACCTAACGAGGAGTGCTCTGCCTCGCGCTTGGCTATTTTGGAATATTGACAACTCGGATGCATTAATTAATTGTTGGTCAGGTAATTGTTAATCTGTCGCCCATCGATCCCTCTTAAGTAGCGCGTAGATAAGAGCTGCTTTCGGCTATTAGTTTCGTACACTGAAAAATTGCGGAAGTGGAAAAGAACGGTCAGGCACTGGTGATGACCCGATCGGTTAAACTAGGGCTTATGCGACAACAAGACCTAATGTAATGAAATCACACACAAAAAATAGCCCGCTCAACAGCCCTTTGAGCGCTTAGATCACCCCCGATCCAAGGTCCGCCAACCAAACTCTGAAAATAGAGGCGCTGCGAAATCCGCCTAGATATTGTTACAAACTGTTATGAATTGATGGACTTACATATAATAATAATAATAAT